CCATCTTGGTAGCCAATGAAAGTCATTAACTCACTACGAGGAGCGAGCTTATTCTTCCTACGATCTTCAGGAATGAAGACGTAGGCTGCACAACCCATAACTCGGAGATGTGAAACATCCGGTGCTTCGCCGTAAAGCATTTCGAACGGAGTTTGCCAGCTCAAACGTTGCACAGGAGTGCGATTGTAGAGGTGGACGGCGTGCACATGACAGAATTCCCACCAGGACTGAGGCATGCAAGCTTCAAAACGAAGAGCTTCAGCCTTCTCATGAATAGTCCTGTTGAATCGTTCAGCTCGACCGTTTTGTTGTGGTGTATACGGTATGCTTTGATCCCTCTGGATCCCATACTCTTTTAGTACTGCATCGAACTTATCTCCTTTGTACTCTCCCCCTTCATCGGACATCCAGGTCTTGACAACAGCATTAAATTGCGTCTTGACCATAGTAAGGAAGTCCCTCAAAGCGGGTACTGCCTCGTCTTTCGTCTTGAGCTTGGAGGTCCAAACGTAGGACGTGCAGTCATCGAGAAAAGAGATGTAGTACTTGTACCGGTGATACGATTCAACCGGGTACGACTTCAAATCCGAATGTATGCGTTCAAACGGTTTAGAAGCTCTAGTAGTAGAGTTGGGGAACGATTTCTCATGCATCTTGCCTTCAGCACAACCACGACACAAAGGTATCTTCTTAGTAGGCATTTTAAGGTCAAGTGGGAAACCTTGCGTATGTTTCCGAGCTTTATTCAGGGCTTTATCCGACGGATGCCCAAAGTGTCTGTGCTCAATATCGTAGTCGACGTTGTAAACGACCGACTTGGCCATTAAAACCTCAGCAGATGCTTTCTGCGAGTGTACCCAATAAATGGTTTGACCAGGCATATGAGGGTAGGAAACAAGCGACTGTCGTCGCTGTGATGAGTAGAAGGCTAACTTCTTCGCATTTCCACGAATTGATAGACCATCTTGAAGGAACTCTCCCATTGATAGTAGACGTATGTCCAATTGAGGTATGTAATAGACAGGATAGAGTCGCGAAACACGCTCAGTAAGCTTCCCGTCATGTCCTTCAACGTTATGCTTAATGAAGACAGTGCCTTTACCCTTGATCTGTATAGGGTTGCCCTTATTCGCAGTATTTACGATAGGACCATCAAGCGATTCATATTCAGCGAAGTCATTCATATCGTTCGTGAAATGAGAGGAGGCACCAGAATCAAGGAGCCAACCCTGTGCGTTGTTCACACTTTTCTTTCCCTTGCACTGAGTACAACCCACGAAGTGGGTGGAAATAGCATTGCAATATGATACAAGTGATGCCAGATCACTACGACTACGACGCGAACTACTGATACCAACTAGTTGTGAGCATCGCTGTAAGGTTGCATCAGCTTGGGAAAGCAGGTCAAGGTATGGTACTTGCCTGTCATCGTGGAACGATCCAAGAGAGACGTCATCCGGGACGTCCTCAACCCCTGCAGCTTCGGCAATATCGTTGTCAACATCATTACCGAATAGAGAGGTCATGTCTTCCATACCGTCGTCAGATCCCCAATCCATTTCTACATCTTCATCAGGATCAGCGCTACGAGAGCGTTTAGAAGAAGTAGAAGAAGGAGATCCGGCTCCCTCATATCCCTCATCATCCTCCAAAAGACGCTTGGACGAGGACGCACGTGGTTGTTCAATGCGGTCCTGGAGCGAACGATTGGTGGCGGACGTGACGATCTGTTCGAAGGGTTTGAGATACCGCGCCGTCTTAGGGGCACCAAGTCTGTCAGCAAGGGAACGTGCTCCACGGACATCATCAAATACTGACTGAGATGGCCTGAAGCCAGTGAAGGACTGCATAGCAGCCGGGTTCTTCTTGACAGCTGGCTGAGGGACAGTGCTGTCACAGGACTTGTCCCAGTGACCGGTGAAGTGAGCTGGGGGCGGTGATCCCATAGCGCGAACAGGAGGGGCGCTGGCGATCTCAGCGCGCAAGGAGTTGTTTACCACGTTCAACGTGATACGTTCCCTGCGGTCGGTGATCGAGGAATAAGGACGGATAGGGGCGGGGGAAGCTACGACGGATGCATAGGATGCCAGATGGGAGTGACCATGCGACCGATTGTTACCACCGTTGTTACCGCCAGCATTGCCGGGACCCTGATGCTGGTTGATACCACCACGGGTACCACGCTGCTGCTGCTTCTTCTTCTTACCATTGTTCTGGTTCGAAGAGGGGCGTTGCTGCTGCTGCTGTGGTTGACGCTGTTGGCCACGCTGCTGCTGTCTGCGCTGCTGACGTTGCTGCGACGGACGTTGCTGCTGGCCAAAGGATGGCTCGCGGTTACCAGCACGCTTGACCGCAGAGAGGCGGTTGGCAAGCTGAGGGTTCTGGCGCTCATATTCGATCATGATGGCTTCATGAACATCGGCGACGGTGAGGGCACTGGAGCTCTCAGGATCCCTATCAAAGTCATGAAGGGACTTGGAGGAAGCGGCGTCCCATTCGGGAGGAATAGCTGCAATGAGAAGAAGGGCTTTGATCAACTCGGGGAGTTCAACCCCGACCTCGGCAAGACGTTCAATGTAGTGTTTGAACTTGGCGATGCCAGCCTGGAGATGGCTGGTGGTAAGCCGGAAGGACACCAACTTGACGAAGTCGCCATAGATGGCAGACAATGTTGGTTCGCCATAGGTGGTGACGATGGTAGACCAAGCTTTGGCAGCGTCCATGTCCTTGAGAGGTTCAAAGACTTCCTTCGTAGAGGTCAGCTGAATTATACCCATCAGCTGGAGATCTTTCTCCTCCCATGATTCTAGCGCAGTATTGTACGCCGTGATCTGAGCATCAGTGGGAGGGTGACGATCAGGTTCGTCGTCACTGTCAGTTCCAGCTGCAGGCGGAGCAGTTCCACCAGGGGGAGTAGTAACCGTAATTGTCGGAACAATAGGTTCCCCCAGCGGGTACGTAGGCTTCTTAGCCGCACCAGTGAGGTGACGATAGAGGCCTTGAGCCTTGGTTACAGCTTCCATTTCGCCGTTATAGGTCTGACGAAATCCAGTGCCGTCGAAGCGACCGGAGAAGAATTTCTTAACGTCGAACATGGTAGTAAGAGGTTAGATTGTTTGGTGTTGGATCTAGAAAAGACAGCATCAGCATGCGTCTAATCAACACAGGGAGCAGCCATCAAGGCGCTATGCTCAACGAGGAGCATTGGATCCTTGAGATCCGATGTCGTCGAAGGACGTACATCAATGCCATAGATCGAGCACTCAATTAAGAGGTCGATGGCAACATGCAGGTCTAGCCTAGCTAGCCGATGACAGCAGCCTAGGGGCGCTCGTCGCTGACAGCAGCCATTAAGGCGCTCGTCATTGTAGTCGGGCTAACCGGGGCCCATAACCTGATGAGCCGGCATGACGCCTAGCGCAGAGGACTACAACATAGCTATACTACTACTTACCAGAGAGGAGTTTAGAGAGGTAGAGGCAAGACGTAGAAGCTCAAGCACACTGTAGATTCAAGTAGAGAACTACGAGCTTATATACATGTAGAGACAATAGTAAATACCATATAAGGACGACAATAGAAATTGTACATATGAGCATAGTGAACAATAGACAATGGAACAATAGCGAATGCATTGTCCCGCATAATACAATGGCGGGAAGTATGAACCGGGACTTCGGATATACCGGGATCTAATTATAGTCCACGGATTCAACAGCCAGCACTCAATCTGGGCAAGAACGAGCGACATGAGCTCCGACTTCGGTAGGCCTCTGTGAGAAGACAGAGGAGAAGATTAAGTCGGACAATTCATCAGTTGGACATACATTCACACTCGGGACTACGGACTCACTCGAGATCTCCAGTTTCGTACGGGCGTGGGTCGGTTGCCATAACAGAGCAAGGGGTGGAAGCGGCTGAGTCAAAATGGACCGCGGCTTAAATGGGCCATTTTCGACAGAAGGGGTCATTTGACGAGTTTTGACTGTCCCCATGGACAATGGACAATGGCTAGAAAGACTGTCGGTGATCGGCGGAATGGACAGTCTCGGGTACAAAAATGGCCAATCCGACGTGCATCCGACATCTTCTCAGCGTGCAGAGGGACGAAGTGAGCAAGGGGAACGCTGCAGCTTAGCGTCAGTAGATGCCCGAGGCGTGTGGCACGCCGCACGCGACTCAGCGACGACCTCGCACACCGAGAAAGCCTCAGAATCTGTCAGAATCTCACGCGAGCCGTATCGGCTCGGCCCTTGGGACACTTCCGGCGGAAGTTGGGTCGATTGCACCCTGTCCGAAGCGTCGACTGGCTCTTGTTCACACGTAAGCGCTATTTACACGGAAGTTGGAGTATATGAGACAAGTAGCGACGAGATCCGAGCCCAGTTACAACAAGGAAGCGCGAGAACTACCGGGCAAGCGCCCTCAAGCGCCCGTGACGTCGTGGGCATGGGGCCCCCGGGTACAGGTAGTCGCCGGGTAACCGGAGGTTGCCCCTCGGCTTACGCGAGCGATAACCGTGCCCCCTGGGCAGGAGTTCACGCGGGATACATACACAGTATACAAACTGTAACCGTATATTTACACTGCGAAGCCTATACGGATACGGTACGGTTGGAGCTTTAGTACACTCAAAGCGGGCATGATCATACAATGGAACGCAAACAGTTGATATCTTCTCAATCGCCCATAATTCATTGGAGTTCTTTCCTTCGACTTACCGGCGGATAACAGAACTTCTTGTGATGATATTCCACATCTTCCACTCGTCTAGCTTTGCGGAGCGAGACTGCTCAGTTACACGCATCTGTCATCATCCCGGATGATCGTAGCCACATTCGGAAACAAAAGAAACGATTGCCACGTAGATGGAATGTATCTAGGAACTTTTCAATTCTTCAAAGAATCGCCGCAGAAAGTAAGACTTCATGTTCAGATAGTGCGAAAAGACCTTCTCGTATAGAGAAATCGATACAATACCGCTGTCCAGAGGAGCAAAATGACGAAAGAGAGATTCGAACTCTCGCCCCGGAGGACTAGATAGTCTCTTTGCGTTCAGCGGACCTGATTCTAGCGCCTTAGACCACTCGGCCATTTCGCCATGCAGACGAGGCAAATCACAACAAAATGGATCGCCATTCCCGATCGTCCCTAGTGGGCAGTCGGCAGGTGAGAAGCCTGTCCTTGGGGAGATAAAATACCCAATAAAATCCCTAAGGTACATGCTACACCCTCAGTATTCCCTATAGGCTCACCAAGCTCAACAGCCTCATTCGTGTCTAATTGGTTCAATCAAAGATGGCGTGAGCCAACAGTGACGACGGCGATTATACTTATAGACAAGGACTCACTGGCACTCTCAAGGGAACTTGGTCGGGCACTTCGTATCCGAAGTTGTAAACGTCGGAACGAATGATGGGCAAGCCCCTCCAGTGTTCGTGGCAAAGAGGGATCCGTTAAGGTTCTGAGTGGTCGCATGAGCTCCAGCGTTCCCTGAACTTCAAGTTTCGGAATCTGCCGACTCACATTGTATACACAATAGGGAGAGAAGCCCGAGATGGCGGGACTGTCATAGCTATAAAAATCGTGGGATGAGCGTGATATACTCGGAGACGAGTATATCGGTTGTACTCACTTGCATTGAACAGTATTCAAGGTCGAGACGGAGCTCTGCCTGATGAGAGTACGCGTCCTCGTGAGGCCCGCGTAGACGATCGTATCGGTACACCGTGCACAGATTTTGGCTCTCTTGTCGAGCTCCGGAGTGGGAGAAGCACCTGCAAGGGAGATGGCGACGGTGGCGAGGACGGCGGCGAGAGTGAAGCGCGTTGTGTTGATGGAAAATTTAGACGGAGGCTATCTGTAGAGCGTGAGGCTTGGGATTGCTGGTGATAGTTGGAGGAAGAGGTTGTCCTTATATACCTTTGGGAGGTTACACCCGCAGCGCACCCCTTGACACATCAGGAGACCGTAAACTGTCTATCCGTACGATATTTGACATCGCTTGATACAGAGGAGAATGATATGACAGCTCACTTCAGTGAGAGTGCCTGAAGTGCCTGCTCCAAGTTTGCTCGACGTGCAGCGAGACGCGACTCAGGAGCCGCTCCAGCCTCGGAGGTCGGAGTGAAGAAGGTCTAGGGTCAAGCTGTTTGAAGTTTCATTTGACCTGTCAATGGTCATGAAGGTATCATGTATTCAGTTCAGGTTCATGAGTCGTATGAGTGTCCCTGTCGTGATGTGGGGAACCATAAGAAGTATGAAGCTGTTCCGGAACTTCAGTTCTACCTTACTTGTGCCACTATGCCAGAGGTAAAATAAATGATCAGAGTAGGGGCGCTATATTAAAGTCATGTCTCGTAGTACTCGCCCGACTTCAGTCAGGATGGTGTTCATCCCGCCAGACGTGCTCGATTGATGAGCTAATTGGACTGTAAGAAATTTTCAACACCATTCTTTGTACCTATTTATATTTTCTGATATCTTATGCATGGCCGCCTGGCGAAATGGCATCGCGTCTGACTACGAGTATTCTAGATCAGGAGATTGCAGGTTCGACCCCTGCGGTGGTCATTTTAATTTTTGCTCAACAGGTATTTGTGTATTTGCACCCTACTTCCGCTCTTTCTTGACTTCAGGACGACCAGACCCTGCGGGCGGCCCGTTTGCACAACGACAGACTACACGAACTTGGATGTACTGACCAGCTTCGTTTTGGTTGTGACCCTTCTCCGACTTTGATTGAGAAATCGGACTTTTGCTACTCTCCTAGAGTTCGGGAGGTCAGGCTCTGTCGCAGCTCTACTAAGCAAGTTGCCCTCGTACATGAACCCCTCTATTATTTGCATTCAGCCTCTTTGCGTTCGCATGGGCCATTGGGTGATGAAGAACAGCGGAGGAGAAGGGGCTTGACATGGCGTTGAAGGGCATGTTGGCTTCGTATCGGACTTTGCCTGATTTCGCTCTTGGATATATAACTTCCCCGTCTGGGGTCGTTGATAGGTAACAATATTAGATCGACAGCATTTTCGATTCTCGAAGTCTCGCGACCATAACGGTCAGTGACCAACCCCCCTGGTCGTTCCCGTCGAACACCAGACTTCGATGAATATAGAAAGCTTGTCATACGGGCGATAAGCATGCAGGAGAAGGTCGAACGTTTGTCATTTGAGACGATCCAACCATATGTCAGCCGTGGTATTAACACTCAGTGGGAATGGCGCGATGCGAAAAAACTGAGTTTATTAGGAAGTCCGACTGGCCGTGAGAATTTAGAACAGTGAACACAGGAATGAGGGCTCGTATGTTTGATTGTTCTTTCCTTGGCTGAGAGGGTACATGAGGCTTCCATGAGTAAAAGCGGTGAACATTACTGCGCACCTGGTAGTAGCACCGTCCCAACCTTCTGGCCGATGCGTGATCGGCCTTCCTTCAAAGTGACTTTGCCTCGAACAGGCCTCGATCGTATCATTGCTATGTGTGCGAGCAGGCGCGAGCGCGATCTTACATGCGTGAGTCGGGGGGCTCGTTGACTCACGCCGGCATCAGCGGAGAGTAGATCTCTAGGCCTCAAAGTTTTCTGGTCGGAGCGCCCGTATGAGCAAGAACGGATACATCCAGACTAGGGTATTACCAGAACGAGAGAAGCTCAAGAGCTGTGTATCCTTGTCGATCACCCCAAGTTGGATCCCAAGTTCTGTTGAGTGATGGTTGTTTCGCAAGTTGTGTAAATCTGTGATGTCTATGCTTGATTAGAGTAGGGATGTGTTGTCGACCAACTTCACGTCCTGTGAAATGAATCGACGGAAAGACCAACGAGGCAGACAGAGTAACAGTGCGATGAACCTAATTGCCAAGTCCTTTGACTGACTAAGGTTCACCCGACAGTAACTCTTTCGGTCTCCAAAAGCGAAGAACAGAATACGTCTGTCAAAGTTCTGAGTCTTCCCCGCGAGTCATTGCGGTGCTGGATCAGTTGTGGAGTGGCGCCCGCAGTCCATTCCCATCGGGGATCCCGGATTGTTCATTCAGACGGTCTAGAGCCCCCGAGGAGTAATGACGCCCAGATGAGAGAGGATATCCGGCCGGGATATAATCTCGACGACACGAGATCGACTATGTGCGTAGATCCGGACTTCGTCAAACGGTATATAAGAGGTCAAAGCTCACCGAACCATTCAACAACTTCCCCCCCCATTGCTCACCCCCACACGACCACCGTCTCAATTATTCTGACCGTCATGGACCATAGCCATACCGAGCAAGGAGCTCTATTGCCCAAGCCAGCAAATTGTGCTACTCTGCAACGGCGTTCAGAACGACTACCCGTCGCAGTAATCATTATTCAAGCATGCATCAGCTTTTCGGTCCTAGCTATGCTGGTCTGGGGGTCTCGACATGAACCTCCCGCTTCAACTCGAAGTTTCTGATATTGCTCCAGTTGCTGGGGGGCGGAGGTGACTGTGAGTGCTTCCTCATCGATCCAGAGAGGGCTGAAATGTTGATGGACGTAAGCAGGCAAGTTACAAGCTTGGCAGAATCACCGCCAACAGGCACCTGGTCCGGTTATCCGGTCGCCATGAATAACCCGGAGGCAGTGCAAACCGATATTTTTACCCCCTCTTTCATTGTCAACGTCATGACCCAGTCCTCTTTCCCTCAACATTCACAACATTCCTTTCTCCGATGGCCTTTGAAGAGCACGATGAAGAAACAACACCACTTTTACCTGGCGCTTCAAATTTAAACTCTAGAAAACTCAACTCAAGAATCCGCGCAAAGCTCAGCGAGCAGCTCGATGCAAAGGATTGCGTTCCCATACTCGTCTTGTTGAATTTTGTGACCGGTTTCTTGTGAGTTTTGTTCGACCCTTCGAAGCGATCTTCGATGCTAAAATGAGTCTGTTTTCTCCAGGGATGCTATATCATACGCCACCCTGCGGATTTGGGCCGCCTTTCAAACCGGAAATTCCCTTCAGGTGCGTTTTCCGAATCGGTCTATTCTGGCCAAGCTCTGACCTTTTTTTTTCTTGCTAGTTATCTCTCGCTCTGTCCCGCCTCACCGTATCATCAAGCGACATTCCTCCTGAACATCCATCTCGATTCGCGTATGCCTTCACTCTATCGGATCAGGTCGCCATAGCTTCATTGGTCTTCTTCAATGTCGGCGCATTTCTGGGAGGCTATATCGTCAATACCACAACTCGGAAGACGCGAGGGTGGATGCTAGTCTCTACCCTCGTCCAACTTGTGTTGACCCTCGCCGCCACTTTGATCATCGCCCATCCCCGTGCAAGGGATATCGCAGAACCCAAGTTAATGAACACTTCTATCTCTTTGGTTCTCATCGCACTCAGCCTGGGTGTCCAGGGGATCCAAGCCAAGAGACTCGGTACTTCACAATTCGGCACAACCTGTAAGGAATGCTTTGTTTCCAAAAGCGAGAAGTTGGACCTGACTCTATTGTTGACTTGACAGTGGTATTGACGACAGCCTGGGTCGACATGATGAACAGCCCGTGGCGGGTAGCCAGACTAAGGGACCACAAGGCGCTCCCGATTGTTTCCCTCATCATGGGCGGCTTTGTCGGCGGCACACTTCTTCGGTAAGTGTTTCCGTGTCTCACGTTGCGCAGCACTTGGACTGATGTTTACCTTTAGATACATAGGAACCCCAGCGGCGCTTGGAGTTGTCGTCATACTGAGGTTTTTGGTCGGTCTTGGCTGGTTTATCGTTCCTCCCGTGCCGGAATCAGCGTGAGGTGGCACTACTCCTTTGAACACATGCGGGAGAAGTAGAGATGCCGATGATAGAAAAGGAGAAGTCTCAGGCACACCCATCTTATCCTTATATTTGGACAATATCTTAGCACCCATTTCTAGTCTTATTCTTCGAACGTTCAGACAGCCTCCAATTAAAGTCGAACAACATCACAAATTGCAAGTTGATATAGGTATATATAATATACATTTGCATTTTTGTTTTCCTACTGCGATAAATACCCAAAGTCCCAGATGGTTGCATTGAATCGTTAGGTGAATGTGGGTTCCGATACTTAGCAGCCGGAGGGAACGGCAGTCGAGTCGACGTGGTTGGCAGCGCCGACACCGAGACCCCTGCTGGCAAAGGCTCTCCACAAAAGGCACCTGTTAGCACCGGCGAACCTGTTCGCGTCAGCCTGGATCCAAGCGTCACGAGCGGTGGGGAGAGTTGGGTTGCAAGGTTGAAGGGCGAGAGCGTCAACGAGGAGACGGAGGAAGACAACGTTTCCTTCGCCGGTGTTGGCGTTGGTGCGGGCGTTGGCGGAGAAGCCGTGTGCTTGGACGAGGGAGGCGTAGACGTTGTGGAGCATGTTGGCCCTGGGAAGAGGGAGGTTAGCTCGCAATGATCATGGTGAGATGTGGATTTGGTGGACTTACCAGACCTATAGATTTGCGGGAGGGAGGAAGGAAGAAATCTATTAGTAGACTGAAGGAAGACGGGTACTTCGGTATTCATCTCACCTCTCCGATGTCTAGAAGGCGAATATGTCAAACTATATCCTAAGAAGAGGGGAACTGAAAACGCACTGTGGACTTCGTTCAACGTGGCGATGGTCGAGTACCTGAGGGGGTTGGTGGTAGCCGAAGTGGAGTAGGGTCGAGTACGGATTCCTGCGGGGTCGTTGGTGACCCATTGTCCCATAACGAAGTCGGTGATCGCGGCGGAGTCAGAGTGAGAGAACCAGCTGCGTGAAAGGCGTGTGCATGAGAAGCTTGAACCCAGTAAAGGCAATCCTGAAAGGCACGTACTCGGCAAGAGCATCCGACCATCCTTCACCCATACCTCCGGCCTCGAGAGTTTGCAAGCAACGTCCGGTACCTCCACCAGTCAACCTGTTACTGAGACCGTGGGTCATCTCGTGGAGGGGGATGTCGTTCTCGATGGCACCATCACGGGTGGGCTGGAATTTGGAGTCAAAAGAAGGGCCGGAGTGATGAATTCATAGACTCACGCTAGTCAGAGTCCAGATGAACATCCTGCAGGTTCCGGATTGACCGCTGTAAACATTCGGATCACATCAGCACATGGATTAAACACGAGCGGGGCAGAAACCTACTCAGGGGGGGTGGCAAAGTTCGCGTTGTTGGTTCCGGAGGAATCCTGAACACTCATGATAACTCTGTCGTTACCGGCGCCTCCCTTTCCGAAGTTGTCGTTCTGGAAGTTAAATGCGGCCTCGGTGAATCCGTATTGGTAAAGGACATCGTGGTGTGAGTTGATGATGTAGAATGCATTCACACGAGCAGCATCTATGTTACCGGTGGCGGTTGCCGCTGAAGCAGGGTTGTAGGTAGCCTGGAAGTTGGCCTCCGTGGTGGTGTTGCTTTGAGCACCCTTGAAGGAGACAACGTTGTTTCCTCTGTCGAAGAAGGTCAGATACGATGGCCTATCCGAAGAGGTAGAGTCAAAATGCTCACGCAGTTGTCAAGGGGCTGGTGGTGGTGTGCCAGCCATTGGGGGATGAGGCAGTGTTCTGGGGGTTGGCAAGGACTTCGAGACCCTCGGTGATGATCTCTTTCCAAACGGGGAGAA